AGGGGTGACCAATGGAGCAACCAGAGGGGTGACCAATGGAGCAACCAGAGGGGTGACCAATGGTGCAACCAGAGGGGTGACCAATGGTGCAACCAGAGAGGTGACAATGGAGCAACCAGAGGGGTGACCAATGGTGCAACCAGAGGGGCGACCAATGGAGCTACCAGAGAGGTGACAATGGAGCAACCAGAGGGGTGACCAATAGAGCAACCAGAGGGGTGACCAATGGTGCAACCACACCGGTGGCCAATGGTGGCCTAGGCACACAATAGATTATTATTTGGCCACCCCAATCATTTGAGGAAACTATCTGGTTGTTGGTCTAATTTGTCTATGTGTCCCTGTGATGGACGTGTGACATGTCCAGGGTGTCCCCCATCTCTTGCTCAGTGATGCTGGGCACCAGTGATCCCCGTGACCCGCAAAGAAAGAAACAGGTAGATGATGGATGGATAGATGGATACTTTAAAGCAATATAAAAACTTGAAAGCATAGTTTCTTAAAATGATGGGGGTTGTCAGTATACATCTCTATAAGGTGGTGGATATCAACCCAGTATTTTAAACTTTCTTGCTCCTAGATGCAGCCACACACCAAAATGGAAGTCAGTACCTCATTTTTCAAATTTTCACGTTTACAACATGCATGAACGGACGGAGGGAGTATTTCCAATTTCCCCCGTTTACTTTGCGATGGGGGACAATAAATGGTAATGTTAGTGCAAAATCAGATTTGTAATAACCATTGCTATTAATGGCATCTTCAAGTCTGTGATTTTTAAACACAAGCTTCATATTTAGGTCATTCAGGACTTTAATCTCATCTTGGAATCAGAGTGATGATCAATATAGTTTTTTTAGATTTAACATGTTTCATTCCTGACAAAGAGGCAAATATGTAATTCATAAATGATTAAAACCTCATCCACCAGCTTGGTTATGTCTTAAGTGTCGTGTTATTTCAATGGCACACAAAGTTCAGACAAGTGCAGTCATGCAGGATGCGTACTCACTCCACAACGTCGTCCTGGTCAGCAAACTCTTCATCATTGAAGCCGAACTGCTCAATAAAATTGGACGTCATTTGTTGCATCTGATAATCAGAAAAGGCCTGGCAAGACCCAGGACCATTGATAATGATATAGTCTTGGATCTACACAAAGATGGTCATTACTTGCAGAACAAAAATAGAGCAAATGCATAAATATGGACAATCTTGACAGAAGAGTGTGAAATATGATCTCAGTTCTGATAAAAATAAATAAAAAAACTGGGATTGGGTGTAAAATGTACATGAGAAATTCATGCATCAGTTTGTAAATAAGATTGTGCAGAATTTTATCTACATATCAGTATCAAACCAAGTAAACCACTGTGAGGTGGTTCAAGGTTTTAAATCTTTGCTATGACAAGAAAAAAAAAAAAACAGATCTGAGGTCAACCTGGTGCTTAACACCAAGCTGCTTCAGTTTTACTACAGGAAACATCCAGAGAAAAACCGAGGTTTAAAACGTGTAAATGTGGATTAGCCATCATAATCCATACTCATACGGGATTTCTGGATGTTTACAAAATAGATCAAATTAGATACAGGGGAGAAAAACAAAAGTCATGGTGATAAAATCAAACCTAGGATTTTTGTCAACTGTTCCATCCCATCACTGTGCGTTTCACTAAATTTAGTTTTCTAATCATGATTAGTAATTGAGTACACTCATCCAAAGCACGGTGGAGAGACGCTTCAGTGTTGTGGAGACTTTTTTATTTTTATTTTAAGGCCTGTCTACACACATAAGAAAAAACAAAAACAGAGGGAGACTCTAGATATGAGAACATGGAAGTAGCTCAGCTTTGATACGAGTCTTTTATTGACACACAACACCCAGAATGACAGAAACACCAACCAGTGCCAAGTGTCAAAAGTTCTGGTCAACATGAGCTTAGACTTTCTAAAATGAATCTTTGCTTCTCGTCTACAGTCACAGTCCGAGCTGCGACGTGTCCAGCACAGATTGCTGCGTTCGCTTTCTAAAGCAGCTTTTCAAGTATCTGCTGCCAGTACAGGTACGTATTTTAGCATTCTGTAGCAGCTGTATGTCAATAAAACCAGTAAAGCACCCAAGCTGAGTCTGTGTGTTCAGGTCCTACCTGTTGAAGCGAGGAGTCTTGGTGAAAACCACCATCTTTAAAGTCCACCTCATCATCGCTGGAAGAATGGATGTGATGCGTGTTCACCTGCACAAACGTCCATTTCAGAATGAAAAGGCTCGGCTCTTTCAGAAACTGAACTACACCTACTTTGTTGATCTTCTATTGAACTTGTTTACAGTGTTTTATTTCTTATTAAATATCTGTAATACGAGGCCAACGCTATGCTGCGCTTCATGAGCGTGCACGTACAGTAGTCCCTCGCTACTTTGCAGTTTTTCAACTTTTGTCTACTTTAATATTACTCACGTGATTGGGACGATACGAGATAAAACGTTAACGAAAAAATACTTCAGACAGGCACCGCCATTTTGTAGTTTTCTTTCAATAAGTCTACACTGTAACACCAGTCAAAAGAACTACATTACCCAGAAGCCAACAGTGCTTCCAGCTGCTGCTTTCTTCCGAAACGGAGGTAAAGTTTTGCAACGCAAATCTACGATATCTATCAAGTTCACAGAACTGTCAGGAAAGCCTCAAATAATCCTGAAGCCGAGCTCAAGTTGTATCTTCACTGGTGACCTGGTCTGCAGTTGATCCGGACTCAGTGTGACCCAGATCCTGGGGGCTGCAGGCAACATATTCTGGTCACGCGATGCTGGTCCGGATCGGGCAGAGGTGGTGGACTAATCCTGGGCAGCCTTGCGTGCTGAGTGTCCTTCCTGGAGCAGCAGCACGTGCACATCGACCTGGACGGGGTGGTGGGCTTGTCATGCTGCAGGGTAGCTGAACGGAACTGAGCCAGACCAGAACTGAGCTTCTGCAGAGCTGGTGAGTACTCATAAAATTTTGCAGTGCTGTGCAGTACATATACGCATGTTGTTAAAATGACTTACAAATAAGCCCTGGCTTTATCATAAAGCCCAAAGCATTTCCACACACGATCAAAGGTACCCCATCTTTTTGGACCTTAAAACCAGGGGCTTTGGCTTCATCTTTCATAAGAAAAGTGCGAGATGGCATCCGTTTCCAAAATAAGCCCGTGCTTTTTTCATTTACTCTTTATTTATCCAGGTAGTCTCATTGAGCCAAGAGAACTCATTTTCAAGAGAGACCTGTTTAGGGAGCAGACGGGGGTTAAGGGTCTTGCTCATTGGCCCAAAGTGGGGCGAATGAGGGTGGGGGCAGGTGTGGATGCTTCACCTACCCCACCCACATTTTTGATGTTGTCGGTACTGGGGCTTGAACCGGCGATCTTCCGATCACAGGCCCACCTTCTCCAACCTCTGCGCCACCACTCCCCGATATGTTGAAAACTAGTTCAGGCCTGTAGCCCCCCTCCTCGATCATAATTTTGAACGTGTTGATCACGTACTCCTCGGCTCCTGCTGTATCCGCAGAGGCAACATCTCCGTACAGAGAAATGCTCTCAAGTCCAAAGTGTTTCTGAAATTTGACGAACCAGCCCTCGCTGGCACTGAATGGAGTTGATCCGGTGGGCAAAGCACTCAAAAGTTCCACTTCAGCGTCGTCCTCCTCGTTGTCCTCTTCGTCATGCCCATCATCGTTGTGAACGTCCCTTTTGGCTGCCAGAACATCATGAAGTTGTTTGGCCTTTGTCCGGATGGTGCTTGTATCCAGCGTGATATTCTTTTTACAGCAATCGTTAATCCACACGGCTAATGCAGATTCCACCTTCACAATCGTCTTATTGCGGGAAGTCACCACCCTCTGTGCGGCGGTGTTGAAAATCACTGCTGCCGTAGACCCGATATTCTTCTCATCCTTCTTGATATAGCAAACCGTAGATTTGTTGATCCCGCAATGGAGGCCAACATCTGCGTAGGTTCTCCCTTCCTCCAACATGTTGAGAAGCTCCCACCTTCTCTTTTATGGTAAGCACCATTCTCTGGAGATCGGGATCGTTATCTGAAACCTTAGAACGCGCAGAACACTTGGGTGGCATCGTAAGGCTTCAAATAAATTTCCCAAAAAAGCACAGCAAGAGAGCAGACGAACTGCTAGGGTTCCTGAGCCAATCAGTGCCCGGGGTACAGAGCACCATGCTCCGTTTGGTCGCCTTCCAAGAATCAGCCAACCGTGTGTCGTGTACAGTCTTACACTGAAAACCAGCGAATGTTGGACCGCGAAGTAGCGAGGGACTACCGGAACTACAAAGTTGCTGTACGTCGTCAATATTCTCTCTGCGATTAATCTGTTTACATTAAAGATGTGTGAAATGTGTGAGAGAGTCACGTCCCAGAGACAGTGTGAGCGTTGCAAAGCATGCTGGGTAGGAATTATATGTGCAATTTTTCTGACTGTTCACAATGTATCCGAGTGTGAAAATGTGTTTTTCATGTTATTTCCCTGTTGTGGTTTGGTTTAATTTCTGCCAGTGCCTGTTAATGTCTGTAAACTGACACCACGAGTCTGAATTAGAATTAGATATGAGGCGGGAAGCACTGCGAGGGTGGTGATGTCACCGAGTGGTGTTTAGCTCTTCATAGCGTAGCATCGCTCTGTGTAAATCACCATTCTCCTGTAAGCTTTTAGAGTGGAGAACGGTCTTTTAAAAATAAAAAAATTGGAGAACCTCCGCTAAACGGAAAGTTAGTTCCACTAGTAGCAGATGAGCGGTACTGTGCCCACCACTGTCTGTAGCTTAGATGTTTGGTTGTACGTTGTGTTAGTCTGTTTTAGTCTTTTATTCATTTTTTCGCCTGTTGGCCAAGTTATTATAAAAATTGAGATTTAGTTTTCAAGTGACTGACCTGGTTAAAAAAAGATTTGATTATTACAACAAAGCATACAGCACACTCTTTCAACGAGCATATAAAAATTAAAAACTAAAACCAGATCGTTGAAGCAACTTTTAGAAAAAAAACATTTGATTAAAAATGCAATGTGTAATAAGAGTTTATAAAGATAAGGAACTCTCCATTTATTAAACTAATCCAAACTTAAGTCACTTAGAAAACCAGAAGAAAAACCAGAAGACAGCGATTAATGACTTCCTGGTAAGCTACTGTATTTTTTTGGTTTTTACCATAAATAAATTACTGTACGTATGTTACAGGTACGTATTTAATTAAGTTTTTTAAAACTTTCTATGTACATATCTCATGTTACAATGTGAACACCCCATATAAAAAAGCGTGGACTAAATATGTACAATTATTATTATTTTATTTAGTGGGTGCGACTTATATTCGGTTGTGCTTAATAGAACGTAAATTACAGTAAGTTGATGTTTCTGCGGCTACTCACCAGGTCGACGGTGTTTCGTTTGTTTGTGTCGGCAAGCTGCCCAGAAATTAACGCCTCCCACTTCTCTCTGGCCTCTGAGGGTAGTTCTGCAACACAAAACACTTATCAGCAAATTAGTTGCTCCATGCTTTATGAAACAAATCATAAATCAAAACGTTCGGCTCTTTCAGGACAATCCTGCTGTGACTTTTGGTGTTGGTGCAACTTTAGCTGTTTGAAATATTTAGCCTTTTCTGACTTTTTTGTTCTCACAGAAAATGAACTGAGCTCATTTTCCATCCTTCAAATCTTTAGATGTGTTTACCACCTTTTACTGCTCCTTTCACAGTTTGTTCTGCTTCAGCTTCTTTCAGCTTCCTGCTGAAAATTTAAACTGTTTTCAGCTACTTTCAGCTGTTTTTTCAGCCGTTTTGTGCCCAATTTCAGAATATTTCTGCTAACTACAACATTTTTGTGCTTCTAACTTCTTTCTGCTAAATTCAGCTTATTATGGTCCTTTTAGCTTATTTATGAAAGTTTCAGCTTTTTCTGATATTTCAGCTACTATTTAGCTGTTTTCATGCTAATTTTAGCTTTTTCAGCTAATTCCACATTTTTTTACAACAATTTCAGTTTTTTCAGTCTAATTCAGCACAAATGTGCTCTATCCACATCCTTCTTGTAATTTAAGCTTCTTTCTGCCCTTTTAGCTACTTTTCAGCTGTTTTTTTTTTTTGCTAGTTTCTACTTTTAGTAAATTTCCACTTTTTTGTGTTCATTTCTGCTTCTTTCAACCCAACTGGGCAAACATGTTCTTTCTGCTTTCGTCTGCTACTCTAAGCTTGTTTTACCTTTTCAACTAACTTTTTAGCATGTTTAGTTAATTTCAGCCGTTTTCAGATAAATTCAAGTTTTTCATGGTCATTTTTGTAACTTTCAACATAATTAACTTATTTCTGCTAATTTCAGCTTGTTAGGATCCTTTCAGTTTATTTCTCCTAGTTTCAGTTATTTCAGCTATCATTTAGCTGTTTTTATGCTAACTTTCACTTGTTCAGCGAATGAAATATTTTTAACACCTATTTCAACTTTTTGCACTAATAGTGCAAAAACAATACGCCAAACAACAGCAGCACGAACATGAGCCTATGTGAGCAGATGAGAACGAATGAACACAGCAGCGTGAAATAAATCAGCAGCATGAGATAATCAGCAGCACATATAAACAATCAAGTGGCATTACAGAGATTCTTTTTTCCACAGTGATTCTCCTGGTTAGAGAGTCATGAGTCTAATAACAGCCTCAGGGTAGAAGCTGTTCCTCAGTCTAGTGCTTCTACACTTAATGCTCCTCAACCTCCTTCCTGAGGGGAGTGGGGCAAAAAGTGTGTGCTGGGTGAGTGAGGTCCTTCATGATGCAGGTGGCCCTCTTCCTGCATCTGGAGGTGTAGATGTCTGATGGTGGGGAGACTGACTCCAACAGTCTTTTCACCTATCTTTTTATATAGGCGTGTTTTTCCATTTCAGCTTCATTTCAGAATGTTTTTAGCTAATTTCAGCAAGTTCTTCAGCAATAAATAATCACATTGCATTTTCTCAGGAAATGTAATTTCTCTAGTTTGTATCATCTACTTTTTTCTAAAACCCTTCCTGTCCATGCTTCTCTCTCATTTGTGTTCTGCTTTTCCAGACCTGGATACACGACCAGCTGTGAGAGCACGGAGCTGTTTACATCCTGATTTGGAGGAAAGTCAATGGATTCTGCAGCCTGCATGGAGCTCAGACCGTTATTATTTAATCAAACGTTACTTGTGCAAATTACAAGTGAGTTTTTGCTCTTTATATTCAAACTGAAACAATTTTGTCGGGACGAGACGAGAGGCGAGACTCCACAGCAAGTCCAGCCAGGAATAAGTTTTTTCCTCTGGTCTGAGTGAAATATTTACTCCAGTAAATCTTTCCAAAGGCTCAAACATAAAAGCAGGGCACAACTTAGAGAGTTATTATAAAAATAAAATCAAAGGTACAGGGAGGTAAGAATAAAACATTACCAAGAGGAATGCATCATTCAATATGATAAATATGGGATTAAGTTGTATTTATTTATTGTACATATCTGCAAACTCAGAAGGGATGAAAAAGATGACAAATAATGCAAGACAGACGTGCATTCATTTTCTCAGATCGTTCCCGTATCGCTCCTGTATTTTACGCTTCATGCACAGACCCGTTCATTTGTTCAGAAATAATATTTCTTATGACGCAGCTTTCATGTTAAAAGCGATGGATCTGGCTGTCGAAGAAACGGCGCTGCCGCCCGTAAGCTTTGCATCAACGCGTGTCGATGGTCGGGCAATGGAGTCAAGCCTGTTACATGTTTTAATAAAAGCTTTAAAATTATCTCTGTGTGACAACTTCCTTTGTACGGTAAATATACGTTTAAATACCGGGATCTCATTTTAAGCTCTGCACGGAGCAGAGGACACAACCGGAGGGGGGGCTCTTCTCACTTCCTCCCTCCTGCTCATATGAGCTCTGCAGAGTAAAAATCACAACAAATTTATTTAGAAAGTACATTTAAAAACAGCAGCTGTTACCAAAAGTGTTTAGCAATAAAATCAATGGTACTAATTTAATGAATATTTACCGCATTTTACTGGTACTATTTGACCTCTGGTCACATGACCTCAATAAGACTTCTGGGTAATATTTATTGGTATTTAATTTTTTTAAAATAATTTTGGTTACGTAGGTATTTGGCACTTTTCTGTCCAGTGATTATAGTTACTGTGTTCATTCTGTAGGTTTGATGGTTTCGACCATGAGTCACACAGCGAAGCATCAAGAAGACTTCTGAGCAAGTGTTGAAGCTAGATGTTGTGAAGCGCCATCCAGTGGCCGATTCTTGTACTACAAGAACACGAAGGCGTCTCCCCCCCCCTCCCCTCCCCCCGTCGGAGGAACGTTGTTTCTTAAAGAGAAATGATGCCATCCACCCTGCCTCTGAACGCCTCCACCCCCCAAAAGAACTCTTCGGATCTACGTGAACCACGTAAATGACATGTTTTAGTTTGAAAACGACAAATTTTGCTGAAAAGTGACAAGTTTGCAGGTATGATCGTAATGTGGCTGATTTCCCCTCAGGAACATGTGTGCAGTAAAATTACTGAGCATCTGAAAAAACTTACAAAAAAAATCTACTAGAAGAATCTTTAAGCTTCGTAAAAAAAATAAAAAAAATATATTGTTTATTGGCTGCACCTACAGAAATCTAAACATGGAAAAGATAAATATGTGGCTGATTTTCCTCCAGAAGGTCTGCCAAGGGTTAAAAAAAATAAAAACCAATAAGGCTCAAAAGGAAACATTATACCAACAAAAACTTATTTGTTTAATGAAAAGACAAACATCGTCTATAATCACCTACTAAAAACAATATTTACAATAATTATAATCTAATAAAATATGGATAATTGATGACTAAATATACATTTCTTCTAAAACAAACCGTGTAAAATCAATGACAGGAATATCCTGATGCATGCTCAATAATCCAGGTAGAAAAATCCAAAAAAGTTAAATCTGGTCCTCTGGACATTCAGAAAAACAAAAAACAAAACAAAGCAAAAAAATATAGAAACGTTTCGTCTCTCATCCGAGAGACTTCTTCAGTCTGAGGAGCTGTTTTCAGCTCAGTCTCTGAATCTCTCAATGACAGGAATGTTCCTGTACTGGAGCCAACAAAGATGAAGTGAGAGCTTACCAGAGAGGAGCTGCTGGATCTGCGGTCCGTTCGGGCCTTTCTCACTGTTATGAACTATAGAGTTGGCTATTCTGGTGAGGTGACCCATGTAGCCTCGTCGCCGACCGCCTTCTGCCCTAAAGTGCACGAGCAAACCAAATTAGGAGTCAATTACGGTAAAAGTTTAGCAGTAAAAGCAGCAACAAGAATACTTACTGCTCTTTTTCATTGGAGTGCCAGGCGTCAACGATTCTTTGGATTAACTGGCACTTCTGAAAGAGCTGATGGAGACGCATACTAAATCAGTTTGGACCGCTTAAAGTTTGTTTTTATTCTAAGAGACAATCTGTTGTCTGTGGGGGGACAAAAAAAGACAACTTCTATCAAACACACACTAAGAAGAAAATAAATGGGATTAGAGCCCTTCAAAACATTGAAGATACGACTAGAATTCCTTCCCTCCGAACTTCATTCTGAAGTCGGGTCTTGGGGGCAGCATCTTGAGCAGCGAGGTCTGGACATCTCTTTCCACAGCCACATCTTCTGGGAGGACTCCGTGGTGTTCCCAGGCCAACAGAGATGCAGTCTCTCCAGCATGTCCTGGGTCTCCTCCTGAACCACCTCAACTCGCTCCTCTGGATGTGGAGGAGCAGCGGTTCTGCTCCGAGTCTCTCCTGATAACTGAACTTCTCCCCCTGTCTCTGAGGGAGAGTCCAGCTCTGCAGAGGAAACTCATTTCAACCTCCTGGATCCACAAGCTCATTTTTTCAGTCTCTACCAGAGTTCATGACCAGAGGTGAGGGGAGGAACGTAGATCGACCGGTAAACAGAGATCTTTGTCTTACAGCTCAGCTCCCTCTTCACCACAATGGACCGGAACAAAGTCCACAATACTGCAGACACTGCATGTGTAGATCATCGTCGTGTTGATATCTCACCAAGAAAAAATCTTGACATGTTGAATATATTTATTGCTCAGCTCTGATTTGAGGTGTACATTGACCTTCAATCCAATTCCCTGTTCTTTAAGTGCAACGTTTGTAAACTCGATAAAGAAACAATGGTTTGTGCACATCAGTCTTACATGTTGGATGAGAGCGCTCTCTCTCACGTGTTGCTCTCCCTCTGCTTGGCTTTCTACGGGAGCAGGAGGCATCGCTAGAATCATTGCGGTGCAGATTTCCACCTGAATATGGAGGAAGTTGTTCCAGATGTATTTGAAATACATATCCTATCGAAAAGAAGAAGAAAAAACACAATTACAGGAGAGGGTTTACAATTGTTTACATCGTGTAGGGAAGTCACCACGCACTGACGTAGTTGTGTCGCGGCGCTTTCTGTCCGGGTTGAAACTGAAGCGGCCGCTTCAACACGAACAGAAATAGAAATGCGTCAGTGAAACTCTGTAATCATATCAAATATTGAAAATGTGCTTAAAACTCAAATCACCGTTATTGAATAAAAGTATACCGTGACATATATCGATATCCGATTGTTGCCCGGCCCTACGTACCACAGCGCTTTAAGGTTGTTGATCTTGATTCAGGAATTCTGATCAATTATAGACCTACATCTAATCGAACATTCATCTCAAAAATTCTACAGAAAATAGTTGCAGGTCAGTTGAGTAAACATCTACAAAGACATTTATTTGAGTTTCACAAAGGACTAACAGTTATTTATGGAGTTCCTCAGGGTTCAGTAAAAGACATAAAACATGGAGGACCCTTAATTTTGCGTATATAAACGTATTCAGTGCACTAACGAATGACCAGAGGCAGCTTAAGGAGGGACTGTCACCATATTGAAGAGCCGTTTTGTAAAAAGGATTCAGATAAACTCCTCTTGGAAAATACGTTGCAGATGTTTCCTGATATTTGGGTGGTTGGCGTGTAAAGGGTGAAAAAATAAAAAAGCGTTACTCACTAGTACAATTCCCAGTGTGTTGAGGTTTATGAGTTCTGTGTTGATGCTGTGAGTGTTGCACTGCAACAGACTCGCGACTAGTCGGACCACGTTCAGCCTAGTGTTGCCCACGGGTGGGTCGAGCACACCCCAAGTAGTTTTCATAACAATTTTCTGAAGGTGGAGAACAAACACCGATCAGTAAATATGACTCAAAGCTTCAGAGTGAACGACGCTGATTGAAATTAGAAACAAAACATCAACTGAAACAGATCACATCAGATGTTTTTTACCATGGGGGGTTCAAGTAGCAGCTGGTGAAAGTCTTTGAGACGAGGTCTCACAGCCTCCAGGATGCTGTGGTTGACTGAGAATGAAGAGTGGGACATCCCAGGAGGACCTTCCATATGACCCTCGAACCTGCAGCACAGAGAGAGGAACACGATGACTAAAACGTGCCGTGTGTGTTAAAAGACTAAAACTGTGTGCTGCAAAACAACGGCTGTAGATTAAATTATCCCCAAAGTTTATCTCATCAAACTTTAAAAAAAAAACATCAGATAACAGGACATACGCTGGTCTTCTTGTTTCAAACAAGGTGAGCAGAATCTGAATCACACTGACAATTGCAGACTCATTCTTCTCCTTTTCAAAAATATTAGAGAGCAGCTGCTCCACCGTCTCCTGCCTGAGGAAGAACAGAAGATGATGTAAACGGATTCAACAGAAAATGGATAAACACCAGAATGAAATGACAAAAACGTAAATGTTGCAAACCTGGCCAATCAGTATTGGTTAACTATTAACTCAGTTGTGTCAACAAACTAAATAAAACATAAAATAAAACAAGGCTCCTGCAGAAACCTGGCCCTGTGATGGACTTGCGTCCTGTCCAGAGTGTACCGCCCGGTCGACTTCCATCTCTCTTAAGATTCACGTGTTAAACTTGGTAAAGAAACTGGAAGTTAAACTGGGTTTATTTTTCAGAAACAGATTCTGTCTAACCCTGAATGTTAGGAAACACCTTGTATCTGTGACTTTCCTTCCCTCCATTGATTACGGTGACATTATTTACATGAACGCTCCTACAAGAACCCTGCAGATGTTGGATGCTGCAGATGTTGGATGCTGCAGATGTTGGATGCTGTCTATCATGGTGCACTAAGATTCATAACTGGCTGTAACTACCGTACCCACCACTGCACCCAGTATTCACTGGTTAACTGGTCACCATTAACTTCACACAGACTCTCCCACTGGTACATTTTCATCTTTAAATCACTTCTTGGTCTGCTGCCTTCATACATCTCCTCCTACATGTCTCTGTGTGAGTGCAGCTACAGCGTGCGCTCTCAGGACATTATTACCTGCAGTGTTCCCTCAGTGAGGACTGAACTAGACAACAGGACCTTCTCCTGCTCCGCTCCTGTTTCCTGGAACATCCTGTAAAAAGATCTGAAGCTCTCGACCTTTGACCTCTCTAAGTGACTTCAAAACATCTGATAAGTTCCTGCAGATGTTCCTGTTTTTAGTTCTCATAATCTAGCTGTTTTTTCGATATGTTTCCTTTTAATTATAATTTTGTTTTCAATTGTAAAAAAATAATTGAATGCATCATTTGTGATCGTCTATTGTTGTCGTTGTTGTTGTCCACTGTTGTCATCATTCTTTGTTAAAATCCAGGTCTCTCTTGTAAATGAGTCCTCGTGGCTCAATGGGACTAACCTGTTTAAATTAAAGGTTGGATGAAAAAAGAAAACTGAGCTTTTTAGTTAGACGTTATTGGTTTAACGCCTATAAAACCTATTTGTTTGTTTGTACACGGTTATCTCTCAGATTAGTAATTTTATTGCATATTTTGTAAAATGATAATAAAATTACTATATAATGAAAGACTAATGGATACATGATGGTTCAGACTGGACCCAAGAGTCTGAAAACTTAAAAAAGCTCAATATTTCCATGAGATGAGAAGCTAGAAATAAATTCACAGGTTAACATCAAACAAAGGTTACTAGAAAAGACAGACATAAACTAAATAAAAAATAAAATAAAAAAACATACTTCTCAAGTGTGGCCAGCAGAGGGTCAGGGTCTGAGTAACCTTGGACCTGAAACATCTGGTCTCTGCTCAGTCTGATGATCTCACACAAGGACTGAGAAGCATTCGAGTGTTTCTGTGTAAAAAAACAAAACAAAACACAATTTCAGAAAAAAAGAAAAGTTTAGGTGATAAATAAAATATAAATGTGTGTAAAACTCACATCTTCATCTTGAGAAGGCTGTACCATGTCGACTAGTCTCTGAATCACCTTCTCCTCGTTCAGCCACTTGAAAACAAATCAAACATTAAAATCCATTATTAGGACAAAAATAAAACGTATTCATCACCTACAGAAAAATGTGAAGACATTTTAAATGGTACAAGCTTAGATGTGGTCACTCTCGTCCACTGATCAACAAATACGGAGCGCCAGCCTCACGACGTCCTGCCCACTTCCTGCCATCTGATTATTACTTTTTCAAACCCCTCCCTGATGGGCCAGATTCTCTAAACAGAACATTCTACTTGTTTTTCATGGGGAGTTCAAAGGTCAATTAGGGTTGGATGAGTTGAAAAATACATTAGTCAACAGATTAGAGTCCTTCAGACAAAACATTTTAAATTATAAGGAAATGCAGTGGCTCGTGCATCTGCACGTGCACGCATCGCAGCACCTCAGCAGCGAAACCATTTTTGAAATGCAGCTGATTTGACCGTCAAAATGCATTTATTAAGTAAACGTTAAGACTGAGACACACCTTTGCTATAATTTCGAGCAAACAAATAATTGTTTGAAGTGTTAATCTTGTTAAATTCTTGTTAAAGTCCTCCTGTGCACGCTCCCGCCACCGCCATTTGGCAGCCCATTGATTTTTGGCACAACATTTCCGGGTCGTCAGTGGTGACGCACAATAGATGCGACGTATACGGCGAAGGGACACATTTATAGATTTTTACACTTTATTAGACAAGTATGGACTGATGCGACTTATCGGGCGGAGCGACGTGTATGGCAGAAAATACAGTATATACACGTTTTTTTATTATTATTATTACAGATCAAAACATTTATGGGGCAGGTGGTGCCACTGGGTGGGGTGCAGTGCCCCCCTCCCCCTTGTATAATGCATTGCACCCACACCTAAGCCACCCACCCTCTGGATCCTGCCCTGACATCCTCAGAACGTCAGGATGCAACTATGTGCTGGAAAATCATACAACCATGGTACACCACTACCACGGGAGCCATGTTGGCAGTTCCCAGGATCTCACGAGCCGCCAGATGTTCCTGTAGTTGTTGGAGGGTTCATGAGTATGGCTAATCGTGGCATGCCATTTATTTATGATGCGATACTGGGTTTTAGAGTTTAGTATTTTCTGATGCAATACTCATCACGAAAATTGAAAACCACTGGATTATTTTCAGTAAAGCTAAAAAAAATAAGTGCTGCGCTGTTACCCACGTTTAAAACATCCTGTCGCAGCTGCTGTGGTTCAATGCACGTGAGCATTCGAAGCAACAGGTCCATGATGGCCGATGTCCCGATGTGTTTGATCATCAAATCTACAAAGTCCTCCCTCTTCCTCAGAAAATTCACTATCTGTTAAATCAAAAAACATGATAAAAATCAGATAAAACCTTCTGTTAAATATGAAAACCACTACAGGACATTTAATTATTAATGATCAAGACATTTAGGCGTTTCTGTAATTCTATTATTGTGACTCTTCAGACTCACCTGGTCAGGCTTGCGTCCAATAAGAATTGACAGGACTTTGGAGAAAAAGCTGGCTAGGAGTGGATTGAGAGGTGGATTATTTTTGAGGAAACCGTAGAGCTTCATGAGCAGATTCTCATCTTCTCCCAGTCTGTCATTAATCTGGCTCACATCTGATGTTAACAGCTCGCATGAAATATTGGGATACCTAAAAATAAAAAAAAAAGCTACTTTTAGTCTCAAGACATAAAATATTGTGGTGTACTGAAGTTTTATTTGTTGATATAATCAAACATTCCAGCAGCAATGCTTGTGTACAGAAAAATTAGCATAAATGTCAAAGATATCAAAACTAAAGTGAGAAGCAGAGATGACGGGATTTAGAGCTCAAAGCCAATAATTAAAATATTTTCCACATATAGCCAGAATTGTTGCAAATGTTGCTGGAACTAAGGGAAACGTGTATTAGAGCACTGAACTTTTTTCACTTTCATGCCTTTATGCAAACAAACGGGACATCGCACTTGAAAAATAATAAAAACACAAGTGGGATAATCTTTTTCCAGGTGTTGACCCTCAATGATTAACAAAATTATTCTCCTGTTTAAGTGTAGTTGTAATAAGTTACCTTAATTTCCAGACTATTGAGCGCACCCAAATATAAGCCATGCCCGATAAATAAACAACAATAATTTTGTACAAGTACAGTGCCTTGTGAAAGTATTCGCCCCCCTTGAACTTTTCAACCTTTTGCCACATTTCAGGCTTCAAACATAAAGATAGAACATTTAAATTTTCTGTGAAGAATCAACAACAAGTGGGACACAATCGTGAAGTGGAATGAAATTTATTGGATGTGTCAAACTTTTTTAACAAATAAAAACTGAAAAGTGGGCGTGCAGTATTATTGGGCCCCCTTGTGTTAATACTTTGTAGCTCCGCCTCTTGCTGCAGTTCCAGCTGCAAGTCTCTTGGGGTTTGTCTCCATCAGTTTTGAACATGGAGACACTGAAGTTCTGCCCATTCTTCCTGCAGAACAGCTGGAGCTCAGTGAGGTTGGATGGAGAGCGTTTGTGAACAGCAGTCTTCAGCTCTTTCCACAGATTCTGGATTGGATTCAGGTCTGGACTTTGACTTGGCCGTTCCAACACCTGGATACGTTTATTTGTGAACCATTCCATTGTAGATGTGTCTTTATGTTTTGGATCATTGTCTTGTTGGAAGATAAATCTCCGTCCCAGTCTCAGGTCTCTTGCAGACTCAAACTGGTTTTCTTCCAGAATGGTCCAGTATTTGGCTCCATCCATCTTCCATCAATTCTGACCATCTTCCCTGTCCCTGCTGATGAAAAGCAGGCCCAAACCATGATGCTGCCACCACCATGTTTGACAGTGGGGATGGTGTGTTCAGGGTGATGAGCTGTGTTGCTTTTACACCAAACATATTGTTTTGCATTGTGTCCAAACAGTTGGATTTTGGTTTCATGTGACCAGAGCACCTTCTTCCACATGTTTGGTGTCTCCCAGGTGACAAACTTTAAACAACACTTTTTATGGATATCTTTGAGAAATGTCTTTCTTCTTGCCACTCTTCCATAAAGGCCAGATTTGTGCAGTGTACGACTGATTGTTGTCCTATGGACAGACTCTCCCACCTCAGCTGTAGATCTCTGCAGTTCATCCAGAGTGATCATGGGCCTCTTGGCTGCATCTCTGATCAGTCTTCTCCTTGTTCCAGATGAAAGTTTAGAGGGACGGCCAGGTCTTGGTAGATTTGCAGTGGTCTCATACTCCTTCCATTTCAATATGATTGTTTGCACAGTGCTCCTTGGGATGTTTAAAGCTTGGGAAATCTTTTTGTATCCAAATCCTGCTTTAAACTTCTCCACAACAGTATCTCGGACCTGCCTGGTGTGTTCCTTGGTCTTCATTATGCTCTCTTTGAACAGAACCCTGAGACTCTCACAGAGCAGGTGCATTTATACGGAGACTTGATTACACACAGGTGGATTCTATTGATCATCATCAGTCATTTGGGACAACGTTGGATCATTCATAGATCCTCACTGAACTTCTGGACTGAGTTTGCTGCACTGAAAGTAAAGGGGCCCAATAATACTGCACGCCCCACTTTTCAGTTTTTATTTGTTAAAAAAGTTTGACACATCCAATAAATTTCATTCCACTTCAAAATTGTGTCCCACTTGTTGATTCTTCACATAAAAATTAAATTTTATATCTTTATGTTTGAAGACTGAAATGTGGCAAAAGGTTGAAAAGTTCAAGGGGGCCCAGTACTTTCACAAGGCACTGCATGAGCCACACTTTCTACAAGCCGCGGGTGTCCACGTTGTAACACGTTAGTTAATAGTTACACAGATTTTTTAAAAATATTTTTAATTAAACACATGCCGGTAACATACACAAATATGTACAGATCAGCGCCCAGGGAGCAATTGGGGATTGGGTGTCATGCTCAGAGACACCACGACATGTGGGAATGGCTGGGGATCAAACCTGGGACTTTTGGGTCCCAGTCGGCTGCCCTACCTCTACCCCATCTTGCCACCCCCCACATCTTCCTCCTGCGAACTATGGAGGACAGCTTGTGCTATCCTCCAACGAGGGAGGTGTGACCTGTTCGGTAATTTCATTGGTCAATTTTTTTTAACCTTTATTTATACAGGTAGTCTCATTGAGTCACGAGGACCCACCCCCCCAATTGAGATGTGTGTTGGGCAGCTAAGTGGGTGACCGGGTGTGACGAGGCTAAATCTTTTGGTGGAATGAAGTAGCCCATCAAAAAATAAAATTTAAATAATCCATAAATTAGCTGCAGCCCTGTATAGACTGTGGGGTTAGAAGCATGTGAAAAAGTAGCAGCTTATGGTCTGGACATTACAGGACGTCATGTTTAAAATAAAGCCCATGAAATGTGTCTCTGCTTTGAACAAACAGCCCAGAACTGGGACGTGGCAGCTTGTTTGGATTACAGTTTATAGAATATATTGAAATTGTAAAAAAAAAAAACAGACATGTCATTTTGTTCCCTTTTAATATTTCTCTTACTTGTATTTAACCTTCTCTTCAACATCAGCACTAGGCTCCTGTGTGATGAAGGTGACCAGGTCCTCCATGCACTGCGGTCTCAACAGGAAGTCAACCAACTTGTGGTTCTGAGCCTTGCACTCCTGCAAGACGTCGTCCTCGTCCATCACCTCTGTGAGAGTCACATCTTCCTTCTCTAGAAGCGTGTCAATGTGGGACGTGGTGTGGAGGTCAAATTTCCAAAACATGTTGGCTCTAAGACAAAAAAAGGAGAAGACATGAAGTAAACAAGGTGCAATGCAAACAATTTGAACTTTATGCAGATGAAAGGATGCAGGATGAAAGTGAGCAGCAACGCTGGCAAAATGAGCATACGTTTGGGGGGGGGGGGGGGGGGGATTTATCAATCTACAAGCCAGAGGGGAGTTTGCAAATTGCAATATAATGGGTTAAAAAAAATAAAAGCCCCAGAAATATGTAAAGTATCTTTACAAAATAAAAATGTCACAAAATGAAATTCCATTATTAAATAAACAAATCTTGAAATAAATAAAAATTAAATCTTTGAAAAAAAAAAAAAAAAAAAACCTAAACATTTTCTATTTAAATGTTTCATTTCATGGGAACATTTATTTATTTATTTAATGGAATATTTATTAATAATTTTTAAATAACACATTTATTTAATTTTGAATAAAATGGCTCTCCATAGATTTCAAGTATCTTAACAAAATGTTAATTATTCTGTTTAAGTTCAAAATAATTGTTGCTCTATTTTTATACCGAGAGTTTGAATAATTTTAATATTTAATTGCTACAATTTCACTAATGCATCAAAACTACATCCTTTTTTTTTTCCACTTTTCTACATTCGCCTTAGAATCTAGCCGTTTTTGTTACTTTTCTTTTTTTAGCCATCCTATTCGTTTAAAAAATAAAATTTAAAAAATAAAAATTGTATGACTTTTTATAACTGTCTATTGTTGTCGTTGTTGTCATGATTCTTTGTTAAACCAGGTCTCTCTTGTAAATGAGTCCTGGAGGCTCAGTGGGATTTACCGTCTAAATAAAGGTTGAATGAATGAATCCTAAAACACGCAATTCAAAAAGTTCATTGCTCTCGATGACACATTTATACACCATTTCTTACTAAAACCACCATATAAAAATGACGTTTAAAACCGTTCAATTCTATAAAATAATGTCCTAATCTGAAATATTTTTGTTTTCCGTTTAGCTTGATATTTTTCCAAAATAGCTGCAATTATTTTAAACTACGCTGGAACAGTTTATGGAAGGAGTGGAGATTGATTAAGACAGGGCTGAACAGCTAACTTCTCCATTCCTTGCCTACCTTTGTTTGAGTTGGAGTCCAGACAGTGGAGCTCAGATTATAAAGAGATGTGATCTAGTCCTTCAGAGTTGTGGCCCATTCCAGGGTAAGCAGATGAACGAGCAGGAGACACCAGGAACAGAAAAAACTGACGGAAAACATAAGGCAGGTCAGAGCAAATACTTTATCACGCAGTTTCTTAACTAAAAGCAAAAACAATACATCACTCATATTAATAAAATGACTTTTTATTTGACACCAAACAATCCCCAGAATCTAAATCTGCATCTCCGTGAGCCTGAACTTCACATTCAGAAACACGTAAAGAGCATATCCACACAGCAAAGGTTTCATTAGAACGTGGCTGTGCAAAATCAAAATGGTCAGTGCAGAACAACATTTAGATAATGAGACACTGCACAAACAAATCAAATGTGACAGTGCATGTTTCTACTGAGTATCAGACTTGTAAATAAAACAACATGTATCTGACGTCATTACAATCCTAGAACACAAGATTCAATCCAGTGCTGGAACACACATGTTTTTAAACTTACCGACTACAATGACTGCCTGAATATCAATAAGCTGCAATCCTGAAAATAATTTTCCTTGAAAGGATCTTTAGAACAAAATCAAAAGGTGCAAAGCTTTACAACATATTACTGTACTAAAGCAGGCATCTAGAGTTAAATTAATCCAAACTAATGTTAGATTTGGACTGCTAAAGCCAGACTTTAGGCCACATTTTAGTTAATATGCAGAAAGGGGGAGGAGTTTAAATGTTTGATAGCCACAGGGAGGAAGGACTCCCTGTGTTGTTCGGTGGAGCATCTTGGTGGTCTCGGTCTATGACTGAAGGTGCTGCGGTGAGTCCAGGGTGTGTGACGTGTTGTTCAGGATCTGGAGCAGGTTCCTCAGCATCCTCTGCTCAGACACCTCTGCCAGAGACTGCAGGTCCACTCCCAGAACTAAGGAGCTCTCTTCATGAGCTTATCGAGTCTGTTGGCATCAGCTTTCTTCACCCTGCTGCTCCAGCACATCATGGCATACAAGAAGATGTTGGAGGCCACAGAGTGGTAAAACATCTGCAGCATAGTCCTGCAGACATTAAAGGACCTGAATCTCCTCAGAAGAAAAAGGTGACTCTGCCCTTTCTTGTAGAGGGCGTTGGTGTCAGCTGTCCAGTTCATTTTATTGTCTAGGTGGACCCCCAGGTACTTGTAGCAGTCCATAATGTCCACCTTAGTTCCCTTGATGTTGATGGGAGGGTGTGCCGATCTTCTTTCTGTAGTCCACCTGCAGATCTTTAGTTTTTCCCAACATTGAGTTGCAGGTGGTTCTGTCCACCACACCACTGTATTCAGCCTACTGGTCACCAGTGATGTAGCCCACAAAGGCAGAGTCATCCGAGAACTTCTGCAGATGGCAGGATTGTGAGTTGTGCCTGGAGTCAGAGGTGTAGTGTGTGAAAAGAAACTGTGAGAGGACCGTCCCCCGAGGAGCCCCAGCACTGCTCAGTATGGTGTCCGAGGAGGTGTTCTGCAGCCTGACATGCTGTGGTCGACCTGCGAGGTAGTCTCTGATCCAGGTGACCAGCGAGTCATTCACCTGCATGTCTAGGAGCTTACTGCAGAGTAAAGCAGGTCTTATGGTGTTAAAAGCACAGGAAAAGTCAAAGAACACGACTCTGACAGTGCTGCCTGCCCTGTCCAGGTGTGTAGGCTCTGCAGCAGGTAGACGATGGCATCATCAACTCCAATGTGTGGCTGGTATGCAAACTGTAGGGGGTCCAGGTTTGGTTCCACCACTGATCCGACACGCTTAAGGACCAGCCTCTAGCGACTTCGTGGCATGTGATGTCAAAGCGACAGGTCTGTAGTCAGAGTTCAGTTGGTTGTTCTTCAGCACTGGTACCAGGCGTGATGTTATCCACAGAGCAGGGACACCCTCGTGCTCAGGCGAGAAATGTGCCAAAAAACATCGGTTACAGTTTGTCAGTGATTATTGTTAATGATGGAAAAAAAATAACTTGCACTGGATGTGATGCAATTTTAAAAACCTGAAAAACGCCTAAAAGCACTCGTCAACTTTTAAACAAATTAGTTTAATGCCAAAGAGTGAATGAAATGAGATTGATAAAACTTTTAAACAACTAATACACTGGAAATATATTTAAAGGTTGGCTTGATGGTTTGTTTCTGTTTGGTAATGAAAATGACCAGACAAGCAACGTCTTGACTGCAACGATGTGTTCAAACTCCAATAAATGAGACGGAAAACAATGATTTGGATCTACAAAACCCAAACACCACAACAAAACCATTAAGACTTCCGGGAAAACACGACTTATTAAGCCCGCATTTGTTTACAACGCGTTAAAACGTTATATACAATAAATGCGCCATTCACTGTATTTATGATTATATACGTTTTTCCGCCGATCCTGTTAAAGTGATCAGGAAAACAAACGCAGATCGTGCGCAGCAGCAATGCATTAAGACTGCCCAATACACCACATATAGGCCTAACGCTTTGGTTTGACTGAACCATTAGAACAATAACTTAATAAAGCAACTCGTAACCTTACATAAGCTGCTGGTAAATATTTAGCTCGAAGAGAAACACCGGTTCAGGCTAACGCCGCTGGAAGCTAAGCTAGCCTGTGAACGTCCTGTTAGCCGACTCAAAAAATGTTACGCCATTTAATGTAGCTATATAGTAAGTATAAGTATAAAATGCTTTGAAACAGTCATCCCCGTTTAAGTTAAAGGGGCACAAGTTTAACTGATTAACATACGGTGGTAAAACGGTAAACTGTGTTTTTTTAATGCTACCTCAACGTTAGCCGGCTGGCTAAACGTCTCAGAGGCAGCGAGTGGCCGGAGCTGGGAAGTAAACCTACCGACTGACAGCGGGGAGAGCCGGGTCTTGGTTATGTGGTTTATCCCGCCATTAGCACTGGGCCTTAAAAAACGAACGCAGAAACAGGACAAAAAAAATCCCCGCAAGGAAAATAAAGCGTTTAAAACTGATTCTGTCAGGCGCGAAACGGTTGGATAGCCGAGTGTACTTTTCAAGATGGCGGTCCCGTCAACTTGAGCGACCCCTTCCCCCACCGCAGCTGCAGCGTCTGTCGAGCTGACACCGACACCCCATTGGTCAGCTCTTCAACGAGGCCTCGAGCTCTGATTGGACGCCGGCATGACTACTTCCGGGCGACGTTTTACGGCGCTGCGTGCGTGAAAGGAGGAGGCTTTAATTTTATCCATCCATCCATCCTCTTTACCCGCTTATTCCATTTTGGGTCACGGGGGTCGCTGGTGCCCATGTCCAGCAATCACTGTGCGAGGGGCGGGGTACACCCTGGACAGGTCTCCAGTCCATCACAGGGACACATAGAGACAAACAAGACAAACAACCATTCACTCTCTCACTCACACCTAGGGACAATTTAGAGTTACCAATCAGCCTAACATGCATGTTTTTGGTCTGTGGGAGGAAACTGGAGTACCTGGAGAAAACCCACGCATGCACGGAGAGAACATGCAAACTCCACCCAGAAAGGCCCCTGGACCGGGGTTTGAACCAAGGACCTGCTCGCTGAGAGGCAGCAGCTCTACCAGTTGCGCCACCGTGCTGCCCTACA